ATTTACCTATTTTGCTAAGTAACATTTCTGCAATTTTATGGCAGAATAATTTTCAACAAAATTATGAAATGTTAAAGCTTTAAGTTATAGAAAAATTATTAACCGTTAAAGTCGGTTCAATGTCTTGCCTCTACAATCCACTAGTCTCCAACGATTCAGTTGAAGATTATTTACAAAAAAATACAAAACCACATTCGCAACAAATTGAAAATTACTACCTCATTGTTTATGAATTCAATATTTTTTTAACGTTGTCCTTGATATCTTTTGCGGCGTCGCCTAAGGAAAATAAACGATCGCTTGTTTTATTATTTCATTTGCGGCTACTTAAACGATGATGGTAAAGCGCTTGCACAAGCAACATAAATGATACAATATTATACAAATTCGCCAAGAACTTCTTCATCAGCAACCGCAGAGAAATAAAATCAAGTATCGAAAATAAACAAATTTGTTGGAAATTTGTCACTGTATAAACAAAAGCAGCAGAGAGCCTCCAAATCCTTCGGCCTCGGCGGAATAAGTATGCTAATGCTAATACTTCTATGACCAGCGGGAGCAGATTTCCTCACCAAGAATCTCAATTTGTATCTGATCACCCCAAAAATACCCAACATATGGAAATTGGGCAAGGTGTCCACTGTGCAAACCAGGGAAACTAGCATACAGTGGAAAGTCACATCGGCCGATATCTCTCCTCTCGACTTTTACACACCATCTGAGTCCAGTGTGCTGCTGCATGAGTTTCGTAAAGTTCACACCACCACAACTGCACTGATCGCCATAAATACGCAGATAATCCATGGCCTTAACCAAAAGTGCTGTCTTGGTAGCACTGGATCTGTCTTATTTGTCTGCCTTTTGGCACGGTCAACCATTCAGTGCTACTATCGGACATTGAGAATACTCATTAAAGGTTTACCTGAGTGATCGTCAATCAACGGTAGAGTTTCGAGATCCAAAATCGAAACCCAGAAATATTAAACAAGAGGTTCCGCTGGGTGGTGTCCTCTCCCCATTGCTGTTTTACTTTTATACTGCGAAACTCCTCTCCCATTGGAAGGGGTTTTACTGATCTCATGAATACTGATGATTGCCCGAAATCGGCAAAGGAGTAATCGACCTCAAGGGCGGCATTCAGCATCAACCCGTCAACACCTTCCTGAACTCTCTTCAAGGGGCATGGCATTCTCGGAGTCAAGTCACCACCAATTGCAGTGAGTCTCGCGTAATACTGGCGCAGCTGAGATATGGGTGTTGTAGTCGGCCAAGTTCCTAGCTATCAAGACTTAATCCTGACATACTCTACGTATGTCCTGCATTCAATTAGCTTCCGCACGACACTAACAACCTCTTTTCATGATCCCTAAAACCCATCCATCTAGCCCCTCTTTTCCTCTGTTCCGTACCCGTCGAAACAGCTCATTTCCTGGATCTCGTTGATGCTCCTAAGCTACAACAACAACGACAGCAATGTACAAACTCATTAAAAATGTGTAAGAAAAAATAGTTTTGAATATTTGTTAGATATTTAATAGTTTTGTGCTCGTTGAAATGAAAACAGTTGTTTTTGTTAATAAGACATTTCGTAGTATTTTCAAAACAATATTTTTTTCTTAGTGTTGGTAAATAAAATTTCAATGCATATATTCTTATTTGGGCTTACATACATATGTAGGTATCTATGGAATGGATTTCAATATGATGTACATATGTATGCCTCTATACATTGAATAAATTTGCTTTCAACCCACATCCAACATAACTGACCACCAGGCTAGTTCTTATGAATTCTTCTTGCGCTCTGCTACTACAGATCCTCGACTCTTGCTGCTGCCGACTTGTTTTTGTTTGTGCAATGCAATTTATTATTGTACTGCAGCTACTGTTTATCGCTCCCGTTTAATTCGATTGAGTTTTGTATTTGTTTTCATTATTGATCATTTGTTGATCTGAGTGAATGCATTTTCAAATATATGTGTATAAAAATAATATGTATTTGTAAACTGGAGTGAACTTTCGAAACTGCTATAAAAGCTTCGCAGCAAAGATTGCAAGATTGCTTTCTCACATATCACGAGAGGTAATTCATTGACGAGTTCCTTATATCTCTACTTCCTCTTCTAGTTTTTGAATTGAAACGGTGAATAGACGTAAAGTCATGAACCCAATATGTCGGAATGGTTGCACTGTATCTTCATATATTTTGAACATGACCCAAGGTAGTTGGTTACCATAATTTACACAAGGCTTTGTCACATTTCCAAGGTGCCCAAAGGCATGAACGAGACAGAGACAGTCGACGCTAGAAGTTTTGGGGAGAAAGCATTTTGATCCTTTGCGCTTTAAAGCGGCAGTAGATTTAAAGATGGGGTGAAGAAATGATATGGTGACCTTGGCATGTTTCAGCGCATCAAAAGCAGCGGATATGCTGGCAAAGTTATGTTGTCAAGATGGACGAGAGAACACTTTTCAACAGAACACTTTTCACTATTCAACGCAGTACCCGTCGGCAGGGTAAATGGAGACCAAAACTCCGTTGGAAAGATAGCGAACTACATGACCTGGCACCAGGCACGGCCAGGATATTGATGACCTCTGCTCGAAAGTAAACGGCTACCTCGCTGATCTCTCCCACTTCTTCACTGCAAGACAATTACGAATCCAACCGACAAAATCCTCGGCTACCCTTTTCACCAGCTGGACGAAGGAATACAGGCTTGAACTGGATGTAAAGGTTGATGACGAAAAAATTCCGACGATAAATAATCAAAAAAAATTGGGAGTAACTCTAGACAGCCTGCACTCCTTCACTCCGCATACGACCGCAATTGCCGCAAAACTCCAGAGCCGCAACAAAATACTCAAAGCGCTAGCCGGCAGCACCTGTGGTAAAGATAAAGAAACTTTGCTGTCTACTAACAAAGCAATTGGCCGGCCGGTCGTAAACTATGCTGCTCCGATCTGGACGCCGGGGACGAACGGGACGCAGATGAAGAAGCTACAGGCTTGCCAAAACACCGCCCTCAGGACTGCGACAGGAAACCTCCTGATGTCGCCGGAGCATCACTTGCACAGGGAAGCATCTATGCGGTAGCATCCCAGTAGGCACTTAATAGAGACTGAACCTCCACCTAGGCACATCAGAAAGGGAGTACTAGACTTTAAGGACACGATCCAGCAACACACACAACAACGACTGGACAGGACGGCGTATCGACAAGCTCTGAACGCCATTCACCAGGAGTCAGTTAACACCTTCATGGACTCCCTTCCAATGAATGGCGTACTCGGAAAAATACCACCACCCATAGCAGACAACGAGCTCGAGCTGCCTCGGGAGACCCGCGTGACCCTGACACAACTCAGGTCTGGATATTGTAGCAGGTTAAACTCCTACCTATCCAGACTAGACCCCAGCATACCTAACGTATGGCCGGCATGTGGAGAGTCCCCGCACGACACTAACCACCTCTTCACATGCCTCTCAAACCTACTCATCTAACCCCCCTCTCCCTTTGGTCCAACCTCGTTGAAACAGCTCGTTTCCTGGGCCTACCATTAGATGACGACGGCGACTTAGACTGATTAAACCTGTGCCTAAGCGGGGTTAGCGAACCGCTACAACAACAACAACAACACCTGGCACCTGATATCGGCGCAAATGGCAAAACGAAGAAACGTATGGCACGCTGATGTTAAGGGTGATTTTTTTAAAAACTGTAGGAAAGTTTTTCTAAAAAAAAACACATGAAATTCAGAAAAATGGATGAAATCTTTATTTGAATCGATAGTACGGTCCATATAATTTTATGTCTGAAGATTATTTCAAGCAAATTTTGACCGCGACTAAGCCTCAAATAATCCATCCGCTTAGTTCAATTTTGATATACTCTTTCCAACATTTCGGCCGGTATCTCACGAATAAATGTTTCAATGTTGTCCTCCAATGCGTCACCAGACGCGGGCTTATCGGTAAAGACATTCGATTTAACATAGCCCCACAAAAATAGTCTAAAGGTGTTAAATCGAACGATCTAGGCGGCCAATTGACCGGTCCCGAACGTGAAATAAAATGTTTACCGAACTCTCCTCTCAATAAGTCCATTGTTACGTGTTCTGTGCGGAATGTGGCATCGTTTTGTTGAAACCACATGTCATGCAAGTCACGCGCTTGCATTTTTGGCAAAAAGAAAGTTTGACGTCATCTCACGGTAGCGCTCACTATTCACAGTTACATTACGATTCGCATCATCTTTCAAGAAGTACGGTTCAATGATGCCACTAGCCCTTAAACTGTACCAAACTCTGACTTTTTCTGGAAGCATTGGTAGCTCTTGCAATGCTCCTGACTGATCTTCACACCAAAATCGACAATTCTGCTTAATTACGCACCCATTAAGCCAAAAATGAGCTTCGAAGCGAGCGATGAACTTCCTTAACAGAATAATTTGCAATTTTTGTCCGTTTATAAGACGGTTAAATTATAGACCAAACCGAAGGCGTTTGACAGTGATACAAAACACGAAACATGTGTCAGCTGTTTAAATCAGTGTTGCTAACAGGATAATAGCTAAAAAAAAAAATCACCCTTTTATATATCGGTCATGGTCTAAATATGGTTGAGTAAGCTCGAGCACAACGAATTCGCACAAAGGTATGTCGTATGGTCGGCTAATAGCAGGTCTAACTATTTTGGATAAATTTGTCTCATATTACAGAAATCAACGCAAATTTATTCGTTTTGAACCTTTAACTTCTTAGGGAAACGTATGAATCGAAGAATTTCCATGAACTTATCTCTGGGCAGGGTTTTCGAAAAGAAGCTCGGTCCCCATTTCTTAGACCATATATATAAAGCTTTCAGGGCTTTTCCTTCATACGCTCATTGGGCATACAAAATCGTTATAACAGCTCGTAATTGTGTATCTGTAATCGACCAATCATCTTTTTTCAAAACCTTACGAACCCTCTGTTTCAGTACATATTTTGATACATACCGTTATCAATTATCATTTCAAATGCGATTTTCTGCGTACCCGTTGGTCCTGACACATCCTTGAACATCCTATAAGCTGGTACTCTACTACAACGTTCTTTTAGGGTTTCCCATAAAGTTCCATCTGCAGAGCTTTCGTTCAAATTTTCTTCATTACAGGTATCAAAAACTTCCATCTCATTTTTGCTCTTAAAGTCTTAAATTATACACATTTTTTTTTCTATTATAACAGGTATTGCGAATATTTTCAATTCCATTGGCCTCAGAATCGTCAATTTCGGTAATTACTGTGTCAAATTCTTCCTCGCTATTGCCTAATTCGTTTATATCAGAGTCCGATCCAGATTTGCCTTTATTTATCCTGATTATAAAATATAAAATTAATTTTCATTGAATTTCATAATTTCATATATTTTTTCAAAATACACTTTTGCACATTGTTCAAATTTGATTTTGAAATATTTAGATCAGCCTCACAAAATTTAGAAAAATCACAAGTTGTTTCTGTAAAATGCACCGTTGTTATGACCGTTCGATTTGACAAAGTTTGATGTGCTTGCATTTAATCATTTTTTATTTAATTTTATTTATATATTTTTATCATTTGTTTTATAGTTTCGTTTTGGTTATTTCGTTAGTTTTGGAGCAATTGATCGTAAATTAAGTAAAATTTCAAATTGGCGGATATCGTAAAAATAGGTGTTCAACATATAGAAATACTAAAATGTTAACCTTTCGAAGGAAATGAATGGAAATATATATTCAATCCATTATATCTTTAAAAACCAGTACATAATATCTCAAGAATAATTTTGATATGTCCGAAATTTCAAGGCATGAAAACGAAATTAACGGTATCTGTAAATCTGGTGTTAATGTCATTTTTTTTATTTAATTCTCAAGTACGTTTTCGCTTTGAATTTTTCACTCAATATAATTTACGGTAATTGGCGTATACCCAAAATTTATTATTAAAATTTCGAAAACAATATCTAAACATAAAATCACATAACCTTATCAGATGTATAAATGTGTTAACTATTAAACCTACAAACATATTTGTACGCAACTCATAACGCCACGAAGAGATGTACGCCCCAATCAACACTCTTTGATAGAATGGCAATAATAAGCTGAGCAAAGCAAAAAGTGTTAATTTGATCCCAAGGGTGTCATACACTCAAATCTAGCCGCAGCAAAAAATCCCCACAAGAGCAACGGTAACAACAAGAATGAGAAGTTATGTGGGATGTTTACTTACAGTGCGGGTTACTCGCTTGATGGAGGGTGGCTAACGATTGGGTTGGCAGGAAAACAGCATTAAAACCTCAACACTAATAAAGTGTTAATAATCAACATACGAATGTCCCCAGACGACGACGAGAACAACGCAAGTGTTAGTGTACTCGTACTTGACTTGTGAGCTTTCTCCTAAAGGACGATTGCATCGACATCGACAAACATCTGGTTGGTTTGCCAAGCTGCGACAATAAAGTAGTATATGACATTAACTGCTACTGATTGCAGCTAAAACAATAAAAACAACAACGGCAAGAGCTTTAATGGCAGGAGAGCAAAAATGATGAATGATGACAAGTCAACTGGGGAAAACCAGGGAGTTTGAGGAGAATACCGCACCAAATAAACAAAGACAACTTATTTATAACGAGTGAGGAGGAGCGAATATTCGGTGGTAAAGTAGAGGAAGTTTTCCTTTTTTATTTATTATTTGAGGTTACAATTTCACTTTCACAATATCCGACAGCTCAGGAGATGGAGTTGGGAGAAAGGTCTGTTGGCGAAGTTTAGAGAAATATTACATTTGGGCAAGCGTGCGTAACTTAAATCCAGCTTAAATAACAACCAACAGAATTCTCTAAGGAATGCCGAGGCACTTAAAAATCTAAAAACCAAAAATGGAAAAAAGTAGTCGACATATGATATGTGCATTTACTTTTTTCCTAAAATATTGCATGCTTCAATTATTTTTATTTATTTCCTTAAGGCGAATATAATTCAATTTGTCTTAAAAGTTAAAGCAGAAGGCAAGTGAAAATGTTATCTCCGATATGATAAAGGCTTTATACTTTCCATGCATATGACCCAAGCTAATCGAATTTTTATTTTGAGAATATTTTCGCATGAGCTGTTGACTTAAATGTAAAATTTTTTCGCCAGAAACATATTTTTAGAACATAAATTTTTAGAAAGGAAATGTTCAGTTTTTTCCTTGATATACAAAAGGAAGGTAGTTTCCCTCAATATAAATTTGACAGAAAAAATTTTTTTGATGAAGATGAAATTAACTAAAATTTTCAACTTTCTAAAATCAAAAAAATTTATTATAAAAAATGCAAAACCTTTCGATGGAAACAGAAAAGTAAAGAAAAATAAAACGTACTCACATAAAACATAGTATTTTCTGAAAACTAATGGAAATAAAATTATTCTCAGACGGCTTAGCAATTTTTTATTCTTTCCTCCGTGAAGTTGACCAGAGATTGACTTAATCGGTAAATTCGGTTATTTTTTTCCAATTTTCGCACACAATTAATTTTACGCGTAGTTTAACATGAACACTGTATTTCCCCCCGGAAAGTGGATCAGAAACCAACAACAACAAAAACTCATATTTTTACTTCAATTTATTTTGATACATATTATTTTGATACAACTAATTGTTTGCAAAATGAAAAAAATTAAACAAATACATTTTTCAACACGACTTTTATTAACTAAATCAATTTTTTTTAATTAATTTTTTTTAATAATATTTGTCTGAGTAATCTTAACATAAATAATGCACACAAATTCCAGAATTCATGACTTAAAAGTAAAAGAGATATAAAAATTCAAAAGACAGCATAATTTATGATTTATTTGTAAACAATTATGGCAAATATAATTAAAACTGGGAGAATATAGCAGTGTCGGTACTAATATTTGGTATGGTGGCCACTTGCATCTATAACAGCTCGAAGATGACGGGGCATGGACTGAAGAATGTTGTTTAAGTCATAATTTACAGGTATTTTGTTCCACTCTTCCTGAATGACCTTAATAAGAGCGCTTTTATTAGTTAAGCACCGTTTGATCACTCGCTTCTTTAAAAAAAACCCATAACTTTTCTATGGGGTTTAATTCAGGACTCTGGGCAGAAGTGTCAAACACTTTATTGATTGTATTTTATTGTGTTATTATTTGTGTTGGGTTTTCTCCAAACTTTACTAGGTCCATCATGATAGTATAACATTATTTTTGTCTCGCCGCAAAAGATAACGTCATCAGTCATAGAGTAATCCGCAGTCCTGTAAACATTGGTAATAGAAAAGTTGAGTCACTTCTCAACTACCGACAACAATGGTTTCTTTGAAGCTATTTGCGAGGAGTACTTGTGTATTTTTAAGACTTTTCGGATTGTCTGGTGACATACTGCTCTTTGGCAATCATTTTTAATGTCTAACGCCAATTTTCTTAGGGTGGTTTAAGGATTATCACTGATCTGCTTTAAAATTTTTGAATGATCGCGTCTAGAAAGTTTCGATGGTCTACCTCCAGAGTGCTTTAACTCCAACCTGTTTTCTTTTTCTGCGCGTTTAATAATATAATATTATAAATCGTACTAAGCTTGATGGAAAACATTTCCGATATTCCTTAGCCGATTCCCTTTTGGGGTAGTTAAAACAAACTAATTAAATAAGATTTTCTTTAATTCGCTTGTCAAGCATTATGGAAAACGCTAAATCAACAAGACCTGAACTGTCCAAAGTATTAATCGAATTTAATGTAATAGAGCAAAGCATAGCTATCGCGTGCGACATACACTCGTTTTCAAATTTGTGGTACCGTTTAGTTATCTACGTTTTATTTTGAAATGTGTGGGCATTTTGCAAATAATTAATTGACAACGTAATGTTTGGCGAATTTTAAATTTTTTTGCCTTTTTTTATCGTTCGGTTTTAATATAATATTTGTTATTCCTGCGAGTGTTATTTGTTAAGAATACATAGATTAACAATAATAATTAATAAGAAAAAATAAAATAAAATACTTTCATTTATAAAATAAAATTTGAAAAGCGATTTTTGCATTTTGCAAACAATTAATTGACACACTGTAAGTATGCACGTAGGTACATTATTGCTTATATAAGCACTACTTTTTCTTTCAAGAAGGCGACCAGGGAAAATGCTTTATTTTTGGTTCGGTTCGATTTATTTGAATTTTAAATTAAGATTATGGTTCAGTTCATAGCACGATTGTGGCGTCGAAGCACACATGCATCTTCTCATTCTCTAGCTCCCAGAAGTAATTTTTGGCTTTGAATGCATTTAGTAGTACGCAATTTTTTTTTATTTTATTTGAAGATGAAAAGATTTTAAAAAATTTAATAAAAATAATTACCTCTTAATACCGTCGATCTTCTCTCATTAATCGAAATATTACATTTATTATCTGGAAATATATAAGAATCGATTTCCTTGAACTTTAATACAATGGCAAATTTTTGCTTCGATTATATGCTACCGGGTTTTGCAATGAGGGGTGTTATTTTGATGTTCAAATAAAAATGACATTTTTTGAGACAAAGTTGGCGTAGACCATCTTTCACGTGGCAATGTATTAATCACAGTCCGTGAATGGTTTCGTAGTACAATTATCTCTCGATAGCGCAATCCCTTCACCGTAACTGTTGCTCAAGCCTCATTTTCGTAAAACTAAGATCCAATGATCCCGCCGGACTATAGACCTCACCAAACAGTTACACGTTGAGGATGGTGAGGCTTCTTGACAATAATTCCTCAGTTTTCCGAAGCCCAGATGCGACAGTTTTGCTTATTGATATACCCATCGAGGTGGTTGGGAGCCTAATCAGTCCAGATAATTTTTCGATGGAATTCCAGTTGATTTTCATGCAGTTCAAGGACCGAATCAGCAAAGACGCAACTTTGTTGATGATCGACCGTCTACAATTCTTGGGTTAGCTGAACTTTATAAGCCTTAAGACCCGAAATATATTGCCCAATTCTAAGCAACGACGAGAGATGAACAAACTTGGATTTTCTTAAATACTTTGGGCCACAGCAGCAATATTCTCTGTTCACATCAATAACTTGTTCCAACAGCTCCATTTTTGCACCAATATCGGTCTGATAAGATGCTTCAAGGCATACAAAAATTTGAATTTGATCTTTTACTTTTTAATCTATGAACCGCAGTGTACTCGCACTGCTAGACACAAGCTATCTTTAGCTCTGGACTGTACAAAAAATAATGCACATTTTTATATTTCTAAAGTTGCTTACAAATATTTCTTTATCGTTTTTTCTTTTATTTAATTTGTGTGGAATTAGAAGTTTTGTAACTGTTGGAGGTCTTTCAAAATGGAAATAAGTGCTCCAAAACCCTTGTTGACAGTGGCATACGG